TGTGTAGTGAATGTGACTGCATAATTCACCTTTGTTCTTGTTTTGTTGTACACGTAATTGCGACTGTTCCGGGATCACGGTCCCTTTAAATGTTTTGTTATGTTGTGACGTAGAGACCCTTGCTTGTGAGGTTACAGGGCTGCTCCATCTTTAGATTGGTTTGTTATGGTAAAAATGAACGAGACACACGCTGCTGTTCTCAACTCGCGGAATTGCCTTTCATTCCAAACGCAACTTCCACAACACTTCCCTTTTCACTAAATAAATAACTATATATACACTAACATATTCTGTATAAAATTGTACCTTAATTCTTAAGTTAATACGTTATGCTCCGTTATTTTGTTGTGTATATCATGAGCGTTTTTAATTCCATACGGAATATGAGAAATATGGAGCAGATTATATCATGTATGGCCAAATTACAACCACTTCCATTTTCACGGCGAATGGTGTTTTTTTGCCGGTGATCTGCGATCACATAGTTCAATATTTTTTCAAGCTACATGCAATTTTTAAAGGCAAATGTATCAAGATCAAACTGGCCAAATTGGAAAAGAAAAAAATAGGCTAGAATTGCAAATATTAAAAAAAATTAACTACTGCGCCCCCTAGTCTTCAAATATTATAAAAAATCTGGGTAAATTTAGGGGTGCATTATATAGATATGCAACAAATTTGTTGAGGGCAGGCCAAATCGATTTAAAGATATGTGTCTTGACATGATTGCCGAGCGCTGCCGGCTTGAGAGATGCCATGTTTGAAAGGTCTTAACGCAGGGGTGCCCACACTTTTTTGGCCCGTAATCTACTTTTCAATGAACCACGACATAGTAATCTACCCCAACAGTCGGCTAGTTTAACACCCCCGGCCGTTCACCTAAATAATGATAATAATTCCGAGAAGTAGCGGTAAAGAAACAAAACCAAAACGCTGCGTACTGCACAAAATGAATCTATATAATGACAACGTCCAGCATCTCATCTTCAGGAAAGCATGGGAACATTGGTCATTACCCTACTCGGATGACTAGGCCAGGGTTGCTTTTGAATAAAATGAAATGTGTCTATTAATATGCAAAGATTATGAATTAGCACTACCAAATTTTCCGTTACATGCGTCGTTGACGTGGATTCTTTTATTTCAGATGGCAGGCGCTCTACTGGCACTGAAATGTGAAAGTATTCAAAAACAGAAATGCTGACTCGTGTAATCTAATCAAATTTTGGATGCATCTGTGTGTATATAATTATATTATAGTAATGCTTATTTGAGGTTAATGATGCACTGCGAATCAGGCTTAGATTTATTTTGGTGCTGGCTGTCGCTGTTTCTGATTTCCTACAGAGAAAAGTCCCTGGACACCACTACAGAGAGAAAGAATGGATGACACAAGTCATGAAGAGGAATCATCTTTCGTCAGGCCAGAGAAGAGAGAAAGGAAATCAGTGCCAATGTGTACAGATGGTAATAGATGACTTACACTTTATGAGTCACAACCATTGACTTAGAGCCTGGTCAGTGCCTGCCATGCTTGTAGTGATGTTCAGTGCTTTTGCTTCGTGACTGCAGATTTTTCGATTTCTTTCTATGTGAAAGGTTTAGAATTCAATAGAGGCACGTAGTGATGTTTTCGACAGCCTTCTGTGGATTAAAGGGAGAGCTAATCAATGGTTGGATTTGATGCAGTAGCTACAGCTATAGATTACTTAATTTTTTTCTGGTCCCCAACTCTCAATGATCTTTACTCTTCGAGATTTGCCAGATCATAAATCACTGCTGTCAGTACACCAAAGCGCACACTAGGTCATGAATTTAAAAAACATAAATTAACGTGATTCATGCACGACACATCAACAATGGGTTAGGTGAAGTGGATTATGTTGTCTTTCTATGATGTCTCATTGATTTTATCATTTGATTTTCACAAAATAACAATGACCTAATTCATTTACCTGGGGAAATTTAAATCATCTTGCCATTGAAATTCTGCCAAAAACCAGCACCCAATTGGTACAAAACATGCATTAGTTAAAGTTCAGTAATGTTAGCCTTGAGGTGTGAGGCAAACATTTGAAGAACAGCAGCCACTTTGAGGCCACGCGGCAGTGATGAGAGGATGGTTTGGACAACAGTCACAGACATAATACACACAACATCTTTAATGAATCCACTCACTCAAGTTTCGCCTGAAATTCCAAGCTCAAGTAACAATGTACATCCAAATCTTTTGATACTATAAAATTCAGTGGAAATAATTATTTTACATTTAGTATATAAAACATATTTAAACTGACTGAAAAGTTGTACTAAGATTGCACCAAACGAACAGCAGTGTAAGACTGTTACAATAGGTTGAATGATTTGGCCAGAATTAATTCATTTTACAGTCTTATTGCACTCGTCAGGTATGACCTCCCGTCTCTGTCCTTGTGACAGTGTAGCTGGAGAAGTTTGGTGGAAAAAGTGCTCCACTCTTCCGGCAGCAGAGGGTCGTACTGTTATCCTGTAAGTGTTCCTCCCTCCACCACCTCATCCAGACTGTCGCGTTTTATTTCAAAGATGGAGCTGGCCTTCCTAAGTAGTTTGTCAAGTCTGCTGGTGTCTCTGACTCCAATGCTGCTTCCGCAGCAGACTACAGAGAAGTACTCATTCAGAGCCAGTGATAGCTAAGTGGACTTTGATTTTAGATCATTAAGACAAGAGTCACAAAATAAGCAAACTTTACTGAGTTCTGTGCCTCATTTAGTTATTATTATAAAGCATTTGTTGGCTATTGTAGAATAGGTGTTTATTTACTAGTTATAAATTCACATTTTTGTTGAATATTCCATCTACTATCACTTTAAAGTTGCATGGCCTTGGTTTACTTTTGAAAAAACAAATATAATTTGGTTTGCTTTACAGTTTTGGCAGGTAGCAGCAGCCATACTATTAGCATAAATGTGTCTCCATTAAAATATACAAAGTGGCAATACAATTAGTCAATGGTAGTTTCTCTTCAACTAGAGATAAAGATATTTTAAAACTGAACACCAGGTAACATGGAATATGGAAATTTCAGAATAAATGACAAGTCGTTGGATTATTCCTTCAGTAGGCAGCTGTGAAACAAATGACAGCAATGCTTTACCCATGTGCTGAACTGCTCACAGTGTGGTGGAAAAGTCTGTGAAAGTGCATTGCAATCCACTCACCTTTGGAACCAATGTTAATGGTGTTGTTTTCTTTTCTTTTCTTTACTAGAGCAGCGATTTCCCAAAGTGTGGTGCGGGCACCGCTGGGGGTGCTTGAGAGGAAAAATGTAATGGTGGTCTAATGGTGTAATAATTCATTAAATATAATTTTAAGAATAAGTGTGTTTTTACACAAAATAGAGACATGAATTATAATAAAACATTTGAAAGACTACAATTTAATAAATAAATGCACTTCAGACTGCTTATTTACATATTTTTGTGTGACACAAACTTTAAACTAAACCTTATTTCACTGCAGACATTCTGCAGAAATCATCAATGCTTTTATTACTTTGACTAAATGCATCTATGCATTTCATCCCTCCCAGCTGTTGGCACACATGTCCCCGCATAGTCTGCTGCACAAAGAATTCCCTTTTGTATTAAGCTTAGTTTGCGTGCCTCTTCACACCTCCACGTCTAGAAAAATGGGTAGACGCACACCCATTTTTCTAGACTAGCGTCAAAAGCTACACAAGCCTCCTGCGGCCCGCAAGGCTGCGATTGGTCTGCTAACTACATCCTTTACGGAGACATTTCTGGTTTCATAGCACAATACCGCCATTATTAAAACGAAGAATGTTTACGAGAGAACGGATCAGATTGAAGAACCTTTGTTGGAAGAATGCGTAAATATGACCGCTTATACAACCCGTCATTGGCGGGTTGTATAAGGAGGTTGGATTCATGGAGGGAGATTTCCACAAACGTCGGTTTGCCGGTCGAGGGGAACAAAGTTGTGGAGGAAAATACGGGACAAATGTGTCTGCGATGAAAAGCAGCAGTGGCGATGCACGGGGCAATAAAGTCTATGATGAATAAATAAACAAACCGACTTCCACACACAAAGATGTGACTCTCTAGGTCGTCTTCGACCAAAAAACGTTACTCCACCTGTTGTTCTGGTGGTGAATTGTTCTGCAACACACGCAAGACTTTTAGAACCATGAATTGAAACAAGTGCGTCGACACAACGCAGAAGCATGCGCCAGCCTTTAATCAGTTTGACCTTTTGCAAATCAGATCATTTAGCCAGTTAACTCATCACACTCCTGAGTGTCAAAGAAGGACGCTGTAGGTTCATACACATCTTGACCAATAGATATCCATGAGGACCATTCATAGCCATAGGCCTCTGCTAAATTAGTATAAATAGTATAGTGGTTTTATATCAACACATTTCTTTGATATCTTAATAACTGTTGTCCCTCAGTGTTTGAGGGCTCTACATTACTCCTTTCATAATACAATGCAAAAAACGATTTTGTAGTTGAAACTGCAGGCCACAAATAAATTCAGAGTGTCATTACATCACTACTTGTATCCTCACAATTTCGGAGGAGATAAGTTGTCAAGATACTGTTACGGACCTGCCGGCTCCTCCTCCTCGTTTTGTCTATTTGTATATCCCCTACAGGTGAGCGGAGCACAGGTGTGACGGGTTTCCTATGATTCCTTCCAGGAACACCTGGGATGGCTTTATGTATCCTAAGGGGTTTAAAAGCTGGGGAGACCTGGTGGAAGGAGGGCTGCCGCTTCTCCTTCTCTCCCGCACCATTTTGCTGCTTTTGTTTCCTTTTACATGACTTTTCACATACCCTGATTTCATACGCTTTCAGTTCTCCTGACTGACACTTATACTGACTTTATTTACTTTACGTTGCTCATTCGTTGTCCTTAATAAACGGTATTTTCTTTCAATCAACTCATCCGCGTGGTCTTCCCTCTGTGTTGCATGGCCAGGCACAGGCAGAATGTAACAGAATTGGGGGCTCGTCCGGGATCGATCCAAAACGACGTCGGTAAATATATATATAAAAAAAATATATATAATAATGTATGTGTTTGAATGTATTGAGACCGTTTCGTTTAGGTGCGTCTGATTCGGAAAGTGCTTTTGATCGTTCATTGATTCGAACGTGTTTTTTTTGGGAGAACGCATGCGGATTAAGGGGAAAATCAATTGCGTTTGGAACAATTGGTTTATTTATTTATTTTGTTGGTGCGTGAGGGGAGGAGAACAATTAGGTAAATTTGTACCTTGGCCGTCGTTAAAGTAGGCCAGGTTGAAGTATTGGCGGTGAGCGATTGTTTGACAAGTGTAGGCCTGCACTGCGCGTCAAGATTGATTGATTTGATAAATTATCAGAGCTTTACGAGTGCCCGTTAGTTGTAATGTTTGTTATTTTAGTTTGTTATTTTTGTGCTATCCTGGGCAGAGGGCACCGTCGTGGAAGCCTTCTTTAACGGCATTTTGTCGGGGAAGTTAAGGCTCCGCTGATATTGTGTAATAAAAATCTCTGTCCTTGGGATATGCATGAAGAGGATCGCTATTTTTTCTTTCTTTTTACAGGGCAGCTCTGTTTTGTCTCGTCTGATGCGCAGTGTGGTAGCCACATTTGCATTGGGAAAAGGTGAGCTTGTTATCTTTATTTGCAAGAATTGAATGGGGTAAAAATCGTTTCATTTGTATGGCTAGTTTGGAGGATTTTTTTGTTACTCCATCCGTGGAGGTTTTGAATAATTTGACAAAGGATCAATTGCGCCGGGTTTGTGACCATTATGGCCTTGACTTAGGTTTACCCAGAACAGCAAAATTAGCCCAGATTAGATTGTCCGTTCAGGCTGAATTGGTTGTTAAGAATATTTTGTCACCTGAATCTAAAATTATGGATGATTTGGGAGAAGCACTGTCGAAACCTCATTCGACAGGGTGTTCTAAGGTGGCGCTCACGTTTGAGCAACAAAAGGTGTTGCTAGAAATGCAACAGGAAGAGAGAGAAGCTCAACGAGAGGCAGATCGACAGGAAAGAGAAGCTAAACGCGAGTTAGAGATGGAAAGAATAAAAAGTGAACGTGATGTGGCGTTGGAACGGCTAAGACTGAGTGCTGAAGGTAGGCTTCCAGTTGATGGGGAGGAGGGTCCTGCTCCTAGGGAGTCTGTGCGTTCCCCTGATATATCTAGCATGGTTAGGTTGCTGCCAAAATTCAATGAAAGAGATCCAGATATTTTCTTTTCTTTATTTGAGAGTGTGGCTGATGACCGTGGCTGGACTGACTCTGAAAGAACGTTGCTAATCCAAAGTGTTCTTGTAGGTAGAGCGCAAGAAGCGTTTATTGCTTTGCCTGTACCAGATCGAAAAAAGTATGTCAAAGTAAAAGAGGCAGTGCTTAAAATGTATGAATTGGTTCCTGAGGCTTATCGTTTGCGGTTTCGCAGCTGGAGAAAGGGAGAAAAACAGACTTATACAGAGGTAGCGAGGGAATTGTACAGCCACTTTAATCGTTGGTGCTCCGCGGTGGGAGTCACTACTTTTGAAGAATTGTCTAACCTGATTGTTTTAGAACAGTTCAGAAACATCCTTCCGGAGCGCGTCGCTACACACATATTTGAGCAGAAGATGAAAACCGCAGCGGAAGCCGCAGTTGTGGCTGACGATTTTGCTTTGACACATAAGTATAGTTTAAAAGACACAGGTCAGATTTATCAGGAAAAACGTTTTGGACGTTTCAATAGAGCTTTGGGGTCTTCTTCGTTGGGTTCATTTGAGTCACCTACTCAGAGTAGAGTAGATTCACATTCCAATCAGTCACACAGAGGTGCTGTGAGTTTTCGCAGAGATTCTAGGTTTTCTGCGTTTACACCTGCCAGTCAGGCTAAGAATGATGCTGATGTGTGTCGATACTGTTTGGAAAAGGGGCACTGGAAGATAGACTGTCCTGTGTTAAAGGGGAAAAGTCAGAGAAAGGGTACTGAGGTAGTTAGGGGGGTCACACTTGCTGTATCTGAGCCTGTTAGACCTGCTAAAGTTGTGATGGGTGAGACCGAGGTTAAATCTGAAGGCATTGTGACGCCATTTCAGCTATCAGGCCTTTGCTCTGTTGGGGCCAGTGAGAGAAACGGTGGTCCTGACTCAGTTGTGCCTGGGGGAAGTGGTTATTTTCCTTTTGTTACGGATGGGTTAGTTTCACTGGTGGGTAGTTCCAACCAAGTGCCAGTTAAGATACTTAGGGACACAGGGGCGTCTGAGTCTTTTATCTTGAAGTCTGTATTGCCTTTTTCTGCAGACTCTAGTACTGGGAACAATGTTTTAGTCCGGGGGATTGGGTTGCAAGTTTTCTCTGTTCCATTGCACAGGATTAATCTGCAGTCGGATTTAGTGCAAGGGGAAGTATCAATAGCAGTTCGCCCTTCTTTACCAATAGAGGGCGTCCATCTTCTTTTAGGTAACAACCTGGCTGGAGAACGTGTCTGGCGTGATGTACTGCCCCCTGTAATTGTTAACAATGTTCCTTCTATTCCAGCCGACAGTGACGTTGGTGGTCAGAATTTGACTGTCTTTACAGCTTGTGCCGTGACACGGGCTATGAGTCGTGCCTCTAATGATGATGTTTCTCAGAGTAGAGAGTTTAAGTCTGTTGTTGTGCCTAATTTACCACCATCTCTCTCTCATAGTGATTTTGTTGCAGCTCAAAAGGAGGATGCAACATTGAAAGATCTGTTCGTTGGGGTGTTAACGCCTGTGGAGTTGCGAAATGCATCGCGAGGGTATTTTATTCAGGATGGGTTGTTGATCCGGAAGTGGTCCTCTCACACTGACGACAGGGTTGATGATCCAGTGTTTCAAGTGATAGTACCATGTAAGTTTAGAGACCTGGTCCTACAGACAGCTCATGGGAATGTAGCTGGGCACTTGGGGGTTAGAAAAACCTATGACCGTCTTATGAAGTGCTTCTATTGGCCTCGCATAAAGAAGGATGTGGCAGCCTTCATTAAGACGTGTCATGTATGCCAGTTGACGGGGAAGCCAAATCAGGTGTTAAAGCCAGCTCCACTTTACCCTATTCCAGCTCTAGGGAAACCATTTGAAAATGTGTTAATTGATTGTGTAGGACCATTGCCTTCATCTAAGTCAGGGGGTGTTTACCTGCTGACGGTAATGTGTCAGTCTACCCGGTATCCCGCTGCCTATGCGTTGCGTACAATCACAACTAGGTCGGTGGTGAAAGCCCTTTCACAGTTTATTTCCATCTCTGGTATCCCTCACACTATACAGAGTGATAGAGGCTCTAACTTTACGTCACGCATGTTCAGAGAGGTGCTCGAGCAGTTGCGTGTGAAACATCAGCGTAGTAGTGCCTATCACGCCCAGAGCCAAGGTGCTCTGGAGCGTTTTCATCAGACACTGAAGTCGCTTCTCAGGGGTTATTGTGTCGAGCTTAACAGAGACTGGGAAGAGGGACTCCCATGGTTGATGTTGGCGGCACGAGAGGTAACCCAGGACAGCACGGGTTTCTCGCCTAATGATCTGGTCTTTGGACATAGAGTTCGGGGGCCTTTAGCGGTCTTACAGGGGGAGCTGAAATGTCCTGAGTCTCCTGTTAATTTGTTGGACTACGTAAATGGTTTTCGTCGTAGGTTGTTTTTAGCCTGTGAGATGGCGACAGACAAACTTACAAAAACCCAACAGAAAATGAAGAGTTGGTATGACCGTCGAGCTGAACCAAGGGTGTTCAGTCCTGGGGATCAGGTATTAGCATTATTACCGATAGCAAATTCTCCGTTCCTTGCAAAATATACAGGTCCTTATAAGATTGTTCGAAAAGTGTCAGACCTCAATTATTTACTTTCTACACCCAATTGTAGGCGTTCCACTCAACTCTGTCACATAAATCTGTTGAAGTCCTACTACAGCAGGTTTCCAGTCTCTGCGGCAGCAGAGTCTAGTGACCTGGTTATTCCAGTTTCTTTAGCCGCAGTTGTCGGGGCTCCTAGGGCCATTGAGACTCCCTACATGGGGGCAGAAAGTAGTGGTGAGGATGTGGTAGGACCTGATGACTGTGTGCTGAAACCTCGTCTGAGGAACTCTGAGAAACTGGCAGAGTTAAATACATTGTTTGGACATTTGCCAGGGGAGCGTGCATCAGAACTGTCGTCTTTGTTGTCTGATTTTCCTTCTCTATTTTCAGATACACCATCATGTACTCATTTAATTGAGCATGATATTGATGTTGGTGATGCAGAACCAATAAGACAGCGGTTCTATCGGGTGTCACAAGACAAACAGCGACACCTAGAGGCAGAGGTGAAGTACCTGTTGGAAAATGGTTTGGCTAAGCCTTCCTATTCAAGTTGGGCTTCACCCTGTATATTGGTCAGTAAACCTGATGGGACTAATAGATTCTGTACCGATTATCGTAAATTGAATAACATCACAAAATCAGATTCTTTTCCACTCCCAAGGGTTGAAGATTGTGTTGATCGGGTAGGATCAGCAAAGTTTGTGAGTAAATTTGACTTATTGAAAGGATATTACCAAGTCCCATTGTCATCTCGAGCTCAGGAAGTTTCAGCCTTTATAACACCATCTGGGTTATATTCCTATTCGGATATGAGTTTCGGGTTACGAAATGCTCCAGCCACATTTCAACGACTTATGAACTGTGTTGTTTCTGGGTTGCAAGGATGCGCTGTGTACCTCGATGATGTGGTTGTGTATAGCGAGGAGTGGTCTGAACATCTGGAACGTATTCGGGCTCTTTTTTTTAGGCTTGTTGATGCTCGCCTCACTGTAAATCTAGCCAAGTGTGAGTTTGCCCAGGCTACAGTTGCATACTTGGGGAAGATCGTAGGGCAGGGGCAAGTGAAGCCGGTCCATGCTAAGGTGGTGGCTATTGATAAGTTTCCTGTCCCTACCAACAAAACAGAGTTGCGGCGGTTTTTGGGCATGGTAGGGTATTACCGCAGCTTTTGTTCAAACTTTTCTACAGTAGTAGCCCCTTTGACTAATCTGTTAAAAGATAAAGTGAAGTTTGAATGGACTGTGACCTCTCAAACGGCTTTTGATAATGTAAAGTTGTTGATGACTTCTGCCCCAGTTTTGATGGCACCCCGTTTTGATCAGCCTTTCCAGATGCAGGTTGACGCAAGCCATGTGGGGGCTGGTGCGGTGCTCCTGCAGAGTGATGAGCAGGGGGTGGATAGGCCAACATGTTACTTCTCAAGAAAGTTTAATTGTCATCAGTTGAATTATTCGACTATTGAGAAGGAAACATTGGCGTTAATCTGGGGTCTACAGCAGTTTGATGTGTATCTAGCTGGGGGCGCTGTTCCTATCACTGTCTACTCGGATCACAATCCACTGACATTCCTCCACACTTTAAAGAGTCCTAGTCAGCGCCTTATGCGTTGGGCTTTATTTTTGCAGCCATACAATTTGCACATATGGCACATTCGGGGCGTGGACAATGTCATGGCTGACGCTTTGTCCCGTGCTCCGGGTGGGCTGGAGTGAATGCTTTGCCTTGGCCTCTATCTCTCTCTCTTCCTGTTTCTCCACTCTTCTTCCGCTTAATCTCCTTAAATGTAGCTTTCCAGGTACCGGGATTTGCGGGAGCTCTTGGTATGCGGGAGGGTGATTGGAGCTGCTGGAGAGTAGAGTGGTTTTTGGTCTGTGGACAAAAGGGTTCCTGTGTCCAGTCCATGTGAATGGGCTGTCAACATACCGAAACGAAAGTTAAGTGCTCATTTTGAGTTTATAGAAATCATTTTTTTTAAAAATTAAGAATGTTTTGTTATTTTGTTGTGTGGGGTTTCGAACATTTTTTTTGCAGAGGCCTTTAGGGGCCTCTGTCTTAAGGGAGGGGGTGTTATGGACCTGCCGGCTCCTCCTCCTCGTTTTGTCTATTTGTATCTCCCCTACAGGTGAGCGGAGCACAGGTGTGACGGGTTTCCTATGATTCCTTCCAGGAACACCTGGGATGGCTTTATGTATCCTAAGGGGTTTAAAAGCTGGGGAGACCTGGTGGAAGGAGGGCTGCCGCTTCTCCTTCTCTCCCGCACCGTTTTGCTGCTTTTGTTTCCTTTTACATGACTTTTCACATACCCTGATTTCATACGCTTTCAGTTCTCCTGACTAACACTTATACTGACTTTATTTACTTTACGTTGCTCATTCGTTGTCCTTAATAAACGGTATTTTCTTTCAATCAACTCATCCGCGTGGTCTTCCCTCTCTGTTGCATGGCCAGGCACAGGCAGAACGTAACAATACGAATCCCTATTATTGAGGTCTTTTTTTCATGTGAATAGCATTTGTATCCTGTGCCTGCAGCCTCTGCGATCTGCTTCCCAGGCCCTGTGTTGTCTTTGTCTTTCTGATTGAGACTGTTGTTAATTACCAGTTCACCGCAGCTTTGTTCCCCATGCAGCTAAACCCACCATGACCACAGAAGACACATAACACCACACTTCTGGTTAACTGGTACTGCAAAAAGAGGCAGCTAAAACAATGGAGCAGTTAGCAATAGCAGTTTAGATGGAGAAAAGCTGGAAAGGGCGCTATGAGATTAAATAACTGGCCACTGCGAGCCAGCAAAATTAAAATAAGGACTCTTTCAAATACCTTTGTCGGTGCACTTGTTCCTGTTAAATAGTGATTCTCATTTTCTCGTCTTCTCACAGGTCAGTTCTCTCCCTTGCCCTGAAAAACAAACCAAAAATGTGTCTCCACCAATAACACAAAATGTAATTGTATGCACATTGATCATCGATCCCACAAAGGTTGCATTCATGTAGCCACGAGGAACTAAATAATTGAGTCGCTAACATCAGCTTGCTGGCTAACTATGTTAGCCAAGCAACACTTTTACCCTATTCTCATTAGTTAACTGAAATGTACCAGTGACATTGAGTCGATATTTTATTAATAAACAGTCAATAAACTGGTTGTGTCTAGGAAAGGGGTTTCAAACTCGT